CTAAAGCAGCGGTCTCCAACCTTGGCAACTTTAAGACCTGTGGATTTCAACTCCCAGAGATCCTCAGCTTTGCTGGCTGAGGAACTCTGGGAGTTGAAGTCCACAAGTCTTAAAGTTGTCAAGGTTGGAGACCGCTGCTTTAGCATACACGCACACACAAAAAAATCATTGAGTGACTCTCTACAGCTGCAATAGCTCTTCAAAACTACATAAACAGCATGTATACATGTATACTCTCAGGAAACAAATACTGTGGGGGGTAAGATGCCCATAAAATCCCTCAGGGTGTGTATTCTGTTAAGATACAGCCTGTTGTGCCTTAAAATGGCTTCTACTGTACTGCCGTAAAATGGCTTCTACTGTGCAGCGCAGTGGAGTTGTCATGGTAATGGTTTCACAGTACTCCACAAAGTGGCTCCCTCTGGTAAGAGGGAAAAATCCAACATTAGAAATTACATTTGGTCCAGACATTTCCTCCTTATAAATAAATATCTGGGCAATGCCAGGTTATCGGCTAGTCCAGGAATAAAACAGAACCCTCATTAAAATGTCAAGTGATATTCTTCAGTAGAAGAACCTTTTTTCTCCTCCTTGAGAAAGTATTTTATAGGGCTACACTTACCTAAAAATGGTTTGGAAGAGCTGTATCAAAATCTATGGTGCCTCATTAAAGCAGCTGTGTCATTTTTCAGAACATCCATATAAAAACATGGCCACTTCTGAATCTTTGCTGGGGTGGGGGGAAATGCACAGCCATAATGTTAATAATTCACGAATCTGTCCCGAGGAAGAAATCCAGTGCAGGATACAGAAGCAATGAATGTGTGTTTTGTATCTTGATGGGCAAACTAATGATGGTGTTCTTTTTGTTTTGTATGATAGATGTGGACGAATGCCAAGCTATCCCTGGGATTTGTCAAGGAGGAAAGTGCATTAATGCAGTTGGATCTTTTGAGTGCAAATGCCCAGCTGGACATAAGTTTAATGAAGTGACACAGAAATGTGATGGTAAGTCTTTTGGAGCTTCCCCGTGGAAAGATAGAAAACTTCACATTCAGTAGGTTTTCCTCCATCACTTGGCAAAAAAAAATTAATTCATTCACGGCAAAATAAGCATTCAGATGTTTCCATTTCATGGAACTTAAAAACTGTCGTGTTTTTTTGATTCTTAAATATGGATGTTACATTTTTACCAAGTTTTGCTGTGCCGGAATTTTGGTAGCTACTCCCACTATTTCCCAGGATTCTTGGCTTACTTAGCCTTAAGTAGTCTAATAGTATGGCCATCAGTGGAGCTATTTAGATGTTATCCTTGAGTGAACTGTTCATTGCAGTGAATCACAACAACACACATATTAAAAAAAAACCCAAACCTTTTTAAAGTAGTAACACAATTTGTCCTGAATGTAATGCCTAAGATTCTGGAGATTGGCTGCCTTCGACCGTTAGGACTTATTTTTAAACGTTAGCTAAAACAATCATCTTTACACAACAACTACTTTGTCATTTTTATTTTGTCTTATGTAAACCAATTTGCAAAGAATTTGATCCAGACAAATAGAGTTTTCATGCTGTCTGCCAACGATGTTGGCCAAAGGGCAGCCAAGGGGTAGGGACGTCTTAACTTCTCAAACATCACTGAACTGTTTCTTTTCGGACATCCAAAATGCAGACCCGTTGCTAGAATTTTGAACCAACGCAATCATATTTTCAGAGCAATAGTCTTGTAGAACCCAAACCAACCAAACACTGCAGCTATATTTAAGTTATTGTAGGCTGGATAATGTAAGGAATAGCCAATTAAAATTTAAGAGGCACAGCATTTACCCAGAGAACTTCAAGTTGGAATCAATGGACGTTCTGTTTGAAAACTAGGAGTACGTTGAACAACAATCAAACATCGTTCAGTAAGATAGTCTCTTCCCGTGTATTACCCTTCCTAAGTTGTTTAGCAGGTAGAAGTGCCAATCGCGAGTCATTAGACCTTCTGAAGCAACTTTTTAAAAGTGCTCGGCGAAAACTCAAAAGGGAAACCTCAGTTCAAGGGACTTTGGTCTTAAGAGTGGGCGATTTTTACTTGATGTGATTACACTGCAGCAGAACAGATGTCCTTTTCTTTTGGAAGCTGCAATTGTGAAAGTCGAACTGCAGAAACAAGGGCTAAAAAAACAAAAACCTGTCCACTATTAAAGGGGAAAAGATTTGAGAGAATTGCATTTTCAGTCCGTGGTTGATGGCCATGCTACCTTTCGAGCCGAGGTGGCACAGTGGTTAAATGCAGCACTGCAGGCTACTTCAGCTGACTGCAATTCAGCAGTTCGGCTGTTCAAATCTCACCAGGCTCAAGGTTGACTCAGCCTTCCATCCTTCCGAGGTGGGTAAAAGGAGGACCCGGATTGTTGTTGGGGGCAATAGGCTGACTCTGTAAACCGCTTAGAGAGGGCTGAAAGCCCTATGAAGCGGTATATAAGTCTANGTCCACTGGTGGAACCTCTTCTAACCGGTTCGGTAGATTTGACGAACCGGTTCTACCGAATAGGTGCAAACTGGTAGGAACCCACCTCTGCTTCCGGTGACTTGTCCACTCTTATGTGTCTTTTTAATGTTGACTTTTGCGGGGCAGCTGTGGGTTGATGGACAGGATTAAATGAAAACTTACTTGACTGGGTACAAGGACTAGAGTTTTCTTGATCTATAGCTTTAGGTGAAAGGTGAACAGCACATTATCTAATCCTTCCTCGAATTAATACATTCCCGAGCCAGTCATATTTACTTCCGGTCCGTGTCATTTAGAGTTTCGCCTGAACGTGTTTTCTTTCTGTCAATTTTTGTTTAAGTTTAAGCGTTTCACTCAAAATAGGTGCTTTTTATAAAGACGGCTAAAGAGACGTTCGCAAAAGTGTGAAATTTGATGGATAGAATATTCCGAAGTGTGAAAAAATATAAAATCATTTTGGATGGAAATTGAGATGGGCAGATGAATTCCCCGTTTTTTCTTTCCTAAGTGCAGTCATGCGTTCATCTAAAAATAGCCTTTTCTTGCTGCTTTCCATGACATTCTCATGTCTGGTTTGCAGATAACGTCGTAATTTATTGCATAGCTTTGAATAATAATATGAATTGAGCAACATTTGCCTGTGTGCTTTTTGCTCCATGAAAATCTACTTTAAACGTCTCTTTTACACACACACAGAAACACACACAGACATAGAAAGATGTACCACGCCTACAGATACTGCTTCTAAGATTAAAAAGTTTTGTTGCCCCATTCATACCTAAACCCTAAACTTTAGTATCCAGAGATATAAGGCATTTAGGGGAATGTCTGCCTACCCTATATTTATGTGGTAGACCCACCAACTCAATTTCATTTGAGTGACTGGCTATTTATTTGGGGACGCTTGTGGTTGTAAGTTGGGGTTTGACTACCTGTGTTGTTAGTTGTGAAGTAGTGTCCAACCCATCACGACTCCATGGACAATGTTCCTCCAGGCCTTCCTGTCCTCTNGTAAAATGAGGACCCGGATTGTTGTTGGGGGCGATATGCTGACTCTGTAAACCGCTTAGAGAGGGCTGAAAGCCCTATGAAGCGGTATATAAGTCCACTGTTATATTGCTATTCTGAATGGTGGAGATGTGTTGAGAAGAATATCCAAATGTTGGCCATGCAGATAGAGAATTCGTGTAGCCACAACACATCAGAAAATAGTCAAGTTGGAAGACTTTCAGCTAGAAGTCAAATGGATCAACTAGGTTGTAATGCCTGAAGTAGCCCCTGTAAATACAGTTTAGCTTCTGCCAAGAAAGACAAACATTTGAGGGCATGTTCTAAAATCCAAATTGCATTTCTGTCCATTCTTAGGCGCAGCCAAAGACTAAGTGATCTTGATGGGAAGATTTACCAGCAAGATTTTTTCTTGCTGGTAAATCCAAAATGTTCCAAAGAATTCGTGATGTTTACCAAAATCTTTCCCTATTAGTCACCCATTAAGTTTTAATTAGCAATCCTTGGTGACAAGCAACTCTTATTACAGGCCCTGATTTTGGCAACCTACTAATATTTGTGAGGATAATCAGCAAAGCTGTGAGACTTTTTATGTGCTTCTGCAAAATGTCACTAAAAAGCCATTGGATGTTTTCTTCCTGAATGCCATATAGGAAGGACTTTCAGCACCCAGGATGGATCACATTCCTATAAAGATTTTCAAAAACGAGAATAAAATAGTAGATTGTGGAATGTTTGATAAGGATATTGGTAAGAATTCTGAATAACAGAGAGGGGAAAGTCTATAGCCGTGAATAGATTAATTTCAAGTATTTTATCTGTAGTGCTTCTGTTTACAAACAAATCTGGCTTAACTGAAAGCAAAATCTCCAGACTTCAGCATAGAGCCGAGTCTAACCCAACGTATCAATGTTTATATTAGTATTATTAATATAAATACCTCAGTTGTCCTCATTTAAAGTGCTCTGCATTCATTGATGCAAAAGCTAGTAAAGCTAATGATTTTTCAAACCTTAGCAACAAAACACCAAGACTATCATGGCCATTAAAATTAAAATTATGTTTGGAGGTTTAATTTGTATGTTATTTGCAGGCCCTTGAAATCTACAATGATAGATCCACCCTTTGGTTATTTCAGTCCTAGAAACAGGAGATCTATGTGTTTGTCCATCCATCCATCCATCCATCCATCCATCCATCCATCCATTCTGGTGTGATGACTGATCTTCAGTTTTTGTAGATAATTGTTAATGCAACAGGCATTACATTTTTCGGTGGTGTCTCTGTTTTCAGATAATTCAGCTAAACCTGTTTTGCATGTACACTGAGAGTTTCTGCACTGCAGATAAATGCCTTGCGTGTGTGAATGTCGACACTTGGTCTATATTTCTACTTCTACAGGGGTGGGCTTCAAAAATTTTAGCAAGGGGTTCTCTGCCTGGTTTCTGGGTGGACGTGGCCATGGTGGGCATTCAGTCAGCCTCTTGCACCATGGCGGCGGCCGCAGGAGTTTTTGTTCTTCCAGAGCCTTTCCTCAAGCCTCCAGGAGGGTGAAAATGACCTCCTCAGGCTCCGGAGGCCCCCTGGAGCCATTTCTGGCCTTCCTGAACTTCCAGTAGGCCTGTTTTCCACCGTCCCCAAGCATCTGTGTGCGCCCTGCACTTACCTGCATCCAAAATTGGCTGTTTGGGAACTCCTGGGAAGAGTGGGGTGGGCGTGGCCAGCCAAAAGTGGGATTTGTGGGTTCTCTGATCTGCACAGAATCTTAGCTAGAAGTTCTCCTGAACTTCTGTGTACCCCCAGCAGCCCACCCTGTTCTACTTTTACCTCTATTATTTCTATGTGTCTATATGTCTCTCCTCTCCTCTCTTCCCCTCCCATCCTCTTCTCTGTTCTACCCTACCCTACCCTTCCTCACCTCACCCCATCCATCCTATCCTATCTTGTCCTATCCTGTCTTGTCCTGTCCCCTGTCCCTTGTCCCCTATCCCCTGTCCTGTCCTATTAAAATCATCCTTGTTTTTAAATCCATAGATATCGATGAATGCAGCACCATTCCTGGCATCTGCGAAGGGGGCGAATGTTCTAACACCATCAGCAGTTACTTTTGCAAATGTCCTTCCGGTTATGCCACAACCTCAGATGGCACCGGCTGCATTGGTGAGTAAAGAATTGCAAACATGGGTGTGGATATGGGCAAGCATGTTGGAATCCAGCTCTTTGAATCCAAGAAAGAGACACAGACATTCGCAGAAATATGACGTTCATATTTTTCAAGGCATCAAAGGATTTCCCTGAAGTTAGCTTTTGTAAAACGGTTACTCATTTGTAAATTCCTTTCTGAGAGTTTATAGGAGGGAAAACGTCTTTCTGCTTTCTCCTGAACAGATATTGGCCAATCCTGTTTGCTTTAAGGAAACAGCTCTCTTTGATTTGGGTTTGAAGTTGTGTTTCAAAACTCCATGCCTTGAGATCCCGTACTCATTTCCCATTACTTCTAAGTTCAAGCAGCACATGTAATTAATTAAAAAACACCCCCCTCCAAAAGAATCAAACAGTTTCCTATCAATCCAACATCTGATATACATTTGGGCATCTTTCTTGGATTTTTCAAGAAATGACCACACAATTTGGTCATTCACAATAGGATCCTTAGTCATAATTAATATTCTCCTGCTAAGAAACATGGCTAAAATACTTTTTAAAACTATTTTCATTTCAGCTAGCATTTCCTGATAGATATGTGCATTAAAAAAAGTCAGTGGCAAGAGGGAGCTGCATACTGTATGTCTACAAGAATGCAATTTAGCTTGATTTTGCCTGTGATGTACTGGAAATACAGATATAATATGATAAGGGGAAAAAAAGTAATCGGAGATTGAGGGCAAAAAGTAAAGAACCACTCTTTTTGTTAAAAGAGAAATGAAGGAGGGAGGAAGGAAGGGAAAGGAAGAGAGAAAGATGGGAAGGAAGGAAAGAGAGAGAGAGAAAGCAAGAAAGGAAGGTAGGAAGAAAGAAAGAGAAAGGAAGGAAGAATGAAGAAAGGAAGGACGGAAGGAAGAGAGCAAAGGAAGGAAAGAAGAAAGAGGAAGGAAGGAAGGAATGAAGGAGGAAAGGAAAAAAGTGGAAGGAAGGAAGAAGGAGGAAAGAAAGAAAAAGAAAGAAAGAAAAAGAAAGGTTAGAAGAATGCAGCCCTTATGGCTTTTTTTCCCTTTCTTTTGTTAAGTCTGGACAATTTCTGTGTGTTCCTGTTTGAAATACAATACCTTTTCCAAATGCAGGTTTTTACATATCTCTTCATGTCAGAAGGGGTCACTTGAGGGGAAAATGCAGAACAAAACTGACATGGACTAGGACCAATCGTATAAATCTTACTTTTTCCTTAGCAATCTGGAACACATTTATTTTGGGAGGTGATTCATTCTGGATGCCTTTCTAAAAAGGTTTAGGGTAGTATTTGATGTCTACTGTAGTTTGGACCTCACAAGAGTACGGTATAATGCATTTTCCATGCTAATTACCCAAAATGTTACACGTACAACAACAACAAATCTTTTGCTCTATATAGAGTAACAAATACATTTATGTTTACTTATTCTTGAAGTGTCAGCACTTGGAAGTCTAGACTATAGATCTTGTTGGCAACTTGTGATATGATACTAATCACAGCTTCAATCATCCCATCTCACCTTTTTCAACTAACACCATGCCGATATTCTTGGAGAATGTCAGCTAGGAGGCTTTATAATTTTTTTTAAAACTTCTTATTAATGCACATTCTCTCTTTTATTAATTGCATTTAAAACAACGTGTTTCATTGGTTTTGTCTTTGATCGAAATCCATTTCCTTGCCCTTCTCCTTCCTAACACATATAGACTGGGTGAAACCAGGCTTAATAGGAGTAACTGTGGAGAAGGATCTTGGAGTCTTAGTTGGCCACCAGTTAAATATGAGCCAGGAGTGTGCAGCGGCAGCCAAAAAAGCCAACGCAATCGTAAGCTACATTAATAGAGGGATACAATCAAGATCAAGTGTGGTACTAATACCATTCTATAAAGCTTTAGTAAGACCACGCCTAGAATACTGAATCCAGTTTTGGTCACCACACTATAAAAAAGTTGTTGAGACTCTAAAAAAAAGTGCAGAGAAAAGCAACAAGGATAATGAGGGGACTGGAGACTAAAACATACGAAGAATGCTTGCAGGAACTGGGCATGGCTAGTCTAGTGAAGAGAAGGACCAGGGGGGACATGAGAGCAGTCTTCCAATATTTGAGGGGCTGCCATAGAGAGGAGGGGGGTCAAGCTATTTTCCAAAGCACCCGAAAGCCAGCCAAGGAATAATGGATGGAAACTGACCAAGGAGAGATTCAATCTAGAAATAAAGAGAAATTTTCTGACAGTGAGAACGATCAACCAATGGAATAGAAGTTGTGGGAGCTTCATCACTGGAAGCTTTCAAAAAGTGAGTGGACTGCCATTTGTCAGAAATGGTGTAGGGTTCTCCTGCTTGGGAAGGGGGTTGGACTAGATGACCTACAAGGTCCCTTCCAACTCTGTTAGCCCGGTAAACAGCCCTAGCATGCTGCTTGCACATAGTAAGAGCAGTCACCCTTATAAAGAGTTTGTGAACCCTGCTATTTAAACATAGGCTTGAATGCATTTTGGACCATATTCCTGCTTTTATATGAGAGTACAGCTAGCCCAAACTATCAGGAACTAAAATCGATCCTTGACCTAAAGACTCATCTAATCTCGGAATTCCTAAAGGACGTGGGAAGGAATGTGCCCCAGCCTTGTGGATGAACTTGCAAAGAATATTTGGAGATATTCTCTGTCCTGGTTTAGCAGCTTTTTTGGGGGACAAATGACCTTTCTCAAGCCACGTCTTCGGTGTCAGTGCAAAGTGCATTTCTTGTAGAATTCAAGCTTAGCTCATTTCTCGCGACAGCTGGAGGACTCAAGTATTTTAATGGAAGAGCTGGATATTACAGTAAGGACAAGAAACTAGTGAAAGTGTTACATATTCCAGACCCCTGAGCCATTCATCATTTCAGGAACGTTTTTCAAGACAAAACATGCTTACCCTCGGCCCATTCCCCGCAGCTAGCATCTTCTACATTTGCAGTATTTCAAAGATGCTCGCCAAAAGCCACAGAACTGGGCACCGAAACCTGTCTGGAATCAGTCGCGCTAATGTTAGTTCAACAATCTCTCTCCCCCCCTCCCCTCTCCACTCTTTTTCCTTTTTTGCCGTTTTCTATGCCTCTAATTCAGCTGTAAAGCTCTTTTGGCCCCTTCTCGGGTTTGATTTCAAAACAGCCCTTTTCCGTTTCCTGTTCCACATCAACCCATATTCTCAACCCGAAACATCTCCCCCCCCCCAAAAAAAAGGTTTTCTGAGTACAATCTGGGATGGGAAGCCACTCTTCTTGCAGGAATGGGTCCTGGAGCAAGTCGGACTGGAAAAGGCTTGGATCTGAGACAGACAGTAGATTTTTAAGGCAGGAGATAGGAAGCAAATCCTGCTGTGAGGGTAATTCAAGGATGAAAAAGAGCATTCCGCTCGGAGTTAAATCTCAGTTCACTGCTCTTCTTCACCCCATGTGCTTAGTCAGTGTTTACTTCCCTCTTCTGCTGCCCTAGTTTGCTTGTCTTTCACTTCTTCCCCTGGATTCTTCTCTCCCTCCCTTCCACTCCATTTTAAGTTGGAACGATCACCAAATCCAATAAGTTCCAATAAGTTGGAACGATCACCAAATCCAATAAGTTCCA